TAGATAATCTGACCGAACTAAAAAATATCGTATCATAGGAGAAGATGAAACAAAAATAAGAAAGGATAAAAATGGATTAGCATCATGAAATGGAATAAACTTGTCATGTTAACAGTTTCCCACGTTAGTCACAGGATGCTGCCTAAATATTAGTTGTTAAAAAATATCATTTCTTCTCCTTTTTTTCTTTTTTTCCCCCTCTCTCTTTTTCTCTATCTCTCGTATAGATGTGTGCCGTGTCTGCATGCTGGCTAATTAATCCCACCCCCATTTGATCATAAACAAAAGCCTAGCACAACCAAACTTAGATAGTAAAAAAGAACACAAAATTTTGAATTAAAGAAGTAGGGCATGAGGAAGGAAAAGCAAGTTGCACAAACTCTTGCTAGATTTATTGTCACTTGAGCAAGGTAGCATGGGTATGTGTACTCAAGAGAGAGCGTAGGGAAACTGTTCAAATTAAAATAATGCACTAGATAAAATGTCTGCTCAAAAAATATTTATATAATAAACAAAGTGGACGAAGCCAATGAGAGAAAAGAAACAAACACGGGCGGCTATTTTGTTTGACACGTAGTTCAATAAAATATTGTTAGAGTCACACGGGCTGGCCCATGAATCGAAACCCAGTTTTCGGGAGTGAATTACCATGTTGTCCGCGCTTACCTTCTGCTACTTTGTTTTAATTGTTCGTGGTGGACTCGATCTGTCCAAATAATAATTATTGTAAACAAAAAGATGGTGCGTGCATCAATATAAAGAGTGATTGAAAGCTAGAAGGAAAGTGGACATTCATCGAAATATATCCTTTAGGGTGTTGCTTAGTCACCAAAAATAAAATTGTAAAACTAAAAATAAAAAATTTATTTTTATTTGGTAGTTGTTTGGTAAAAAAATAATAAAATGAAAATAAAAATAAAACATAATTTTATTCTCATATTAGATGTGAGAATTTAAAATATAAAATGAGAATAAATTTTTTTAAATAATAATATATTATTTTTATATATTATATATCAACTACTTATACTATTTTTATTATCCTCATCATCATTATGGTAATAAAAAAATTCTTAAAGAAAATTTTTTTATCATTTTTATTGTACCACCATTAATAACGATAACAATGAAAAAAATTATTATTATTATTTCATTATAACTTTTTTATCACCACTACAATCACTTATATTATATCACTATCGTTTTTCTTTTCTTACTATTACCTCATATAATTATTGTATCAATTTATTAAAAATATATTATTATTATTATTATTATTATGTTATTACTATCACTTCTCCATCATCCTTCTTTTATTCTATTACCACCATCTGTATCACCACTACTCTAATTACTCTCATGATTTTTACTTTGAAAATAAAAGTATTATTTTAATTATTTTTATTTTTTATTTTAATTTTGAATTTTTTTATTATTGATAACTAAATGACACCTCATGGATATGGATATTTACAAGTGCATCATTGTATTTGAATTGATGGGTTTGTTTTGCTATTTTATAAAATGCAATGATCTAATAATACGATTTGGTATTTCGTCTCAGCCTGCATTCTAGACTTCATTATCTATAGTGTTTGAATGATTATGCTAACCACTAGCGTTTTCAAGACCGGTTTTTTTTTTTTTGGTTATATTCACTATCACTAATCATTCACGCCAATGTTTAAGAGCCCTGAATGAATATCAATTACTCAAAAAATACTTCTCAAATATAAAATGAGATAACCGAAAAAATATTTAGTACTGCGTGGTGCGAGGATATTTTAAAATTTGAAGATAAAAAATCAAAACAAGAAAAAGTTGATAAACGGTCGTCAAAAGAAAGTAACAGGTTGCGAAATTGAAGCTAGCTCCGCCCTAGCCACCTTAATAACTTACCAAATATGATTAATATTGCAACAACTCATAAAAGGTTGTCTTGTTATACTGTATTAGTTGGAGTGTAGTGTAAAAGCCAGCATTTTTTTGGCAGGCTTTTAAGAATCAGACACCAAACTTTCCAGTGTTAACGGCTATGAATGGAGAAGCCTACTGGCTGCTAGGAAGTAAACAAGTACCACGCTAATTGTTGGTTAATGTGAAACCCTAAAAATTATCGAGCTTTGGAGGACAAGGACGAAAAGGTTGCGGACGTGTGGTTAATTTTAACCACATGATTTCCGCTCAGATTTTTAATGCTGGATCCTTAAAAAAAAACTCTTCCTAACCTTAATATTTGGGTTCTTCGAATGAAAAATGTCAAAACCTTCCTCAACGCTCCTATTAATTACTTAATTATATACCCAATTACTTAAATTGAGACTCATTTTCGAAAAGCTGTTTTTTAAACCAAAAGTAAGATATGCCGAAAAATTACAAATATAAAGTGCGTTTCAAAATAATCATGCCACCTAAAACTAGAATGTTTTAGAAAACGTACATAGGACGGGAGCATCAAAATCATGGAAATAAAATCTAGCAACAACTCCACTCTTTTTATTCTCTTAATTAAGGTTCCTAAAGAAACCGGAACATTAAAATCATCGGAACATCATCACGTTTTCCACGGAACATGTGCCCACTGACCAAAAAACTACAATTAACTGCCAAAAAAATAAAAATTTACCAACCACAATCGCCATGTAATATATCAAAATACCTAAATCTATAAATGCAAGGCAGGTCTCAAGCTCGATGAATTGAGGCCAGCTAAGAAAATACTGGATTTGCAAGGTCAAAATTAGCAAAACCATCAATCCAAAACCATGTTTAGGGTACGATTTTTTCCCCTCATCTAATCAATGGCCCTTGTGGAATAGGAACATTGAATCATAAATAGAAAGCCATATCATCTTTTGTACCAAACAGGTCCTTCAACCCGACAATTACAATTCACTGCCAAAAAAATGAATGTTTTATCAATTATAGCAAACAAATATACAAGTCATCTCTCAAGTTCAATGCATGACTTGAAGCCAGCTAAGAAAAAACTGGATTGCCATGGTCAAAATTAACAAAAACATTAAAAACCAGTTAAAAAATAAAAAAGTAATAAAATGGCCCCAAATTCAAGGTTGCCTGCCACGTTAATCCTTTCTGTAAATTGCGTAAATGGTAAAAACAAATAAAGGAGCACGCAGATTCACTGAGTCAATACATACTGTAACGCCAATTAGATACTCTAATCGCAAAAGACAAATCACCCCATGAAGGTTAAGCCTTAATAATAACCGTAGGTTAACACTTTAAGAATAGTAATTAAGGGTCCTTAAATGAGGTTATAAAAACATCGTCTAGTATAGTTAATATTCTTAGTCAAAGGTGTGACTGAACTAACCGTCTGGTCTCACGTGACCGAAAATCTTCAATTCCAAGAAGAAATCTTTCCTTTGCCGAGTCAGCAGCGAAATGCACAGCCTCCGATTGGAAGAGCTCTCTTTTACCAGGCCCACTTTTCCACGTGTACGAATCTACGTGCCCTTTAATGCGGCGCCTCGTTAAAAAAATCTTGCCTTCTCAATCGGGTCTCTCTTTACGACCCGTCGTTCAGTCAGCGTCTCATAAAAACACGCGCTCCTTCCCTCCTTAGTAGGAGAAAAGCAAAAAGACAAATCTTAATTTAGTCCCTAAAGCTAATACATATTTTCATTTAAGTTTTCAAACAATTTTAGCCATACTTCTATGGGTAAGGACTTTTGATTTTATATCCATCCAAATGCCCCCCCCCCCCAAAATGGAATCTTTGAAAGAAATTTTGAATTTTAAAAAATTAATCAAATAGACAAATTGATCTACTATTAAATGGAGTATTGAATTATATTTTAAATATTATTTGTATTAAAAGTATTTTTAAATATACATATCAAAAACTATATTGGAATTAATGAATTATGACAAGAGAAAATCTTTTGTTTCAATTGGAATTATAAAAGTTCAAAAAATAATTTTCAATTGAATCGATTTTATCTATGTTTGTTAATATATTTAATCCAAATTATACATTTATGCATGAAAAAGAACATCAATTTAGGTTAATGGATTCTGTTAAAACTTTTTGAAGAATTCACACTAAAGTTAACTGAAAATATTTGTAACTTATAGAAACTCAATAAATAAATAAAAATAAATTGAATAAATTGAAATTTATTTTATCTATTGAGGACTAATTTGAGATATGTCCAAACAAAAATTTTGGTAATTAGAGTTAAAATGTTAGATAAGGATGCCGAACCGGGTTTCAGGGTGTTACGGCTTAATTGGGATCCTATAAAACAGCTTGTTATGGTATCCACCCTCAAACTCAACTGCGCTGTCTCTTATCTCTCCATTTGCTCTCTCTCTCTCTCTCTTCTTTTCTTGAATCCCCTCATTCCCTTTCTATTACCCTGAAAAACACTTGGTATCCTTTTGATTCTTTACCAAAAGCTTCAGGCCATTTATTTCTCTGAGTAAGTGTTTGGAAAACCAGTTTGTATCTGTCCAACAACGTTGGTGGTGGCAGAAGAAGGCAGTGGTGGTGTTGGTGATTCTAAACATTTTATTCCTTTATTCCCTTACTTTTTCTCTCCGTTAAAGCTACCAACTTTCTTTCGGAAAAAACCTATCTTTTGCTTCTTTCTGTTACTGCCATAGTTCTTGGTGTCTCTCCCTTTCAATATATCACTCCCTCACTGACCATATCTTCGCATTTCCGTACTCATATACTCCCTAGCTATCCAGTATAGTGTCTTTAGACCATCTCCTCCTTTTTCATCTTGTAACTTTCCTTGAAATTTCTCGTCCTTTAATAACCACATAAGGGTCTCTTTATATCCACCTCCTACCTCCCTTTCTCTTTATTCTCCTCGTGTCCAGTCTCAGAAGAATCTCTCTCTTCTTTTGAATCTTTTTTATAATACTTTTACACCCGCCCTTCCCTATATACACTCAGCTTCATTTTCAATGCGAATCTGATAGTAACCCCCCAGAAAAAAAGAAAAGAAAAGAAACCCATCAAGAAAATGAATCATCCTGTCAAGTTTAGTGAGCATAGAAACCAGACCAAGCTTACAACACCATTTTTATCAAACCCATGCCAATACTCGAAGCCACCAAGAATTGTGCGGATATCAGTAACAGACACATATGCAACTGACTCTTCAAGTGACGAAGAAAACGAGGTTGCAAGAGTCTCTTCTCATAAAGGACGAGTCACAAGAGTCAAAAAGTTTGTCAACGAAATATCAATAGAGCCACCACCACCATCATCATCATCAAGAAGCTCTGAAGGTGTCCGGAGCGACAGCGTTTTGAGGATCAGACCCTCGAGGAGTGCTAGAAAGAAGGTGGGCGGCAATGGGTCTCAGGCGAGACGATTGCCTGCAAAGGCACAGGCTACGGCGGTGGAGGGGAAGAAGTTTAGAGGGGTGAGACAAAGGCCGTGGGGAAAATGGGCGGCTGAGATTAGAGATCCTTTGAGACGTGTAAGGCTGTGGTTAGGCACCTATGATACTGCTGAAGAAGCTGCTACGGTTTATGACAACGCGGCTATTCAGTTGCGTGGTCCTGACGCGCTCACTAACTTTGTCACTCCTCCAGCGAGCTGTTCACCGGCGGCAGCCACCTCGGGGTACATCTCCGGTGATGAGTCAAATAGTAACCATAATATTAACAATGACAATGTTAATGTTAATGTTAGCTCTCCAATTTCAGTGCTCCGGTTTAGTGAAGAGGCCGAGACTCAGAGCGTCAGTTCGAGTAGAGAAATCCGAGATACCGGAAATGAAGTTCATGAAGCCAAAGAGGACTCCTGTGTATCGGAAAACTTTTCCGATTTTTCGGAGTATAATTCGTCGATCGACAGTCTGTTTCCTCCAACAACCGACATTTGTGAATTTCGGAGTTCCATGAGGGATATTTTTGAGGAAACAAGTTTTGCCGACGGTGGGTTTTTGAAAGACGAAGATTTCAGGGACATGGATTTTGATTTTGGATTCGGGCCATCAAGTTGGAACGTGCAAGACCACTTTCAAGATATTGGTGACTTGTTCGGGTCTGATTCTCCTATAGCTATATGAAGATAAATAATGATAATCGTAATCATAATAATAAGATGAACTACATTTCTCGCATCGGCATTGCTTGTTTTTCCGGGCATTGTCAATTTTGTTTCGGCGAGAAGCAAATATCGGTCGTCTTTTTCCTAATTGGTAGTACCAATTTTGTGTGTTTTTTTAGTTCCTTTTGTTTTGAGTTTTGTTTTATGTAAGTGTTAATCATGTGAAATATGAGTACAAGTAATATGAAAAAATTATTCTCCGTCACGTTAACGGTGACGGTAGAGTTTCGCTACGTTGCTTTTTTGGTGTTCTTTATTTACCTTTGTCACTATTTTTGAAAAGAGAAAGTAGGCTCGACTAATGAAGCTTTTGTGGAAGACAATCTTAACAAAATATGTAATGTCGATTTTGAATAAAAGATATAGAGGCCTCGCGTGACTTTTTTTTTTTTTTGTTTTTTGGAGGGTGAGGGTTGTGCATTTCCTTGGGGGCGTTAAGGGGTTGTTGGTTGCATTAGGGTCTATAAATTTTGTGTCAAGTTTACGTCTAGCCGTACATGTGTACTATAGAAACGTTTCAGTAGGATTTTAAAATTGGGACTAATAATAAATGTTGGCCATTGAAAATCTACTTAATGCTATGCGTTTTACCAATTAGAACAACCCCATTAAAAGAAGGTTGTGTTTCTAGAAGGTCTTGGACATGAGCCATTGCGAGATGTTTTGTGGTTTGTTTCTCATAATTTTTCATTTATTCTTTGAAGTTGCCTGTCTACCCTGTTTCAATTTCACCTCCTCCAAAAAAAAAAAAAAATGTAGCTTAGTAAACAAATTTGTGGATCAGAGTTTTTTCCTTCTGTCTCTCTTTCTTTCTTAAAAAGGATGCCATTTTTCTTTTTCTTTTAAGAAGTATAATTGATTGATTTTATATTAATTCTTATATTATCATTCAAGATTTGAATTTAAATCACATCGTCAGTCAAATTTTAAAATTTAAAATTTAAAAACAAATAATTTCTCAATACATACTTAAAATCTAATTAGAAAGAAATTTAATCTTCGTTTAGAAGTGATTCGACATAATGTGATTCAGGGTTAAAAGTAATTGGACAATCCAATAAAATTTCGTTCATCTGTTACCTTTCTGTAATCTAATTGAATTTTACATGTCACACAATAATCATAGGAAGAGCATGAATCCATAAAAGTCAAAATAGTACGGGAATTTATTCACTCTATCAAAAAATATATATATATATATATCAAATGAGAATTTTGAAATATGAAAAATTGGAAAACTAACAACAATAAATACGTTTAAATTATTTTTTCTTTTTTTTAAAAAAAGAGTAAACAAACAAAAGCAAAGAAGTTTGATTTGATATTTGGTAAAATTAAAAGAAAGGAAAATCTGTTGTATCTGACAAGATCTTTTGTATGAGATTTGGCAAAATTTGATTGCATCCAAGGAATGTGTAAGCCACGAAATACAGTTATTGCCGTTCTAAAGGTAAGGCATGGCAGCAGCTAGCCTACTAGCTAGTAGCGATGAGTGAAGCAGAGAGAGGCAAGTGGTAGCGTTCGTAGTGACTCAGATTTTTGCAATTGCAGTATTAACAAAAAGGATAGGGCAGAGTCAGACTAAAGTTCTTCTAATCCCTCCACGTTTCATTACCCTATCCTAACATGCACAAAACAACTCTTTTTGTTGGATGTTGGGTCTTTTACCTTATAAAACTGAGGTAGGAATACCATGGCTATGCTTGGATATTATGACAGTGGATGAGAGGCAATTACTCCCAGGAAAATTGCCAGACACAGCCAGGCCTATCGCAACATCTGGTTTAGACCAATTAATCACAACATGTTTGTGACTTTCCCCATCTGAAATGGAGGATCTAAGATAGAACAGTCACCATAAATGTCATAATGTGATGATCGTGCATCGTTCTGGTCCGATTTCATTTTGGGAAATAAAGTTTTGTTGTTTATATTTTTTTTTCAAGTTTGGTAACCTGAGCTAAAGTTTTGAAAACATTTAATCAAACCATGAGTGAGGTTATGACTTTTTTTTTTATATTTATGTAACATAATTGAACCAAGTGGGATGTGTTAAAATGGCATTTCTCTGATTTCACAGTGGAGAACGATGGCAATAATTGTGTCTTAGACGACAGTTTCATATGGAACATATAAAATCATGATAAGGGCAGTAAAGGTTTGAGTCATTTTTTGCAGGTGATGAGGCTCTTTTTGGGTCCCTTTCTTCTGAGTTTGTCTGTTGGTGAAATTTAGCAAATCAAGTGCATCATTTTTTAAGTCAAACTGGCCATGAGTCAACCGTTCACCCATATATGCTATTCTGTTTACTATTCCTGGTCATATAAATTTAGACCAACTTCTATTATTAAACCTTAGCTAATTATGAACACTTGTGTCAATAATACTATGTCATCTGAGCTCAACCACGAATAGACCACTCTATAATCTAGGTCACGGTGAGTGATTCAATTTACGGGCCGATCATTACTCCTATTGGGCTAACCCACAAAGGAAGAAAGTGGGATAATTAGGTCTAATTAATCAGGTTTATGATCAAATAGCCCAATTTCCAAGAACCCCAGAAGACAGTTGCTATTTATCAATGGTTGTGATCTATAATATATATATATATATCCTATGGTCCCCATTTCCTTAGCTGGAGTTACAGGGAAAGCTACCAGATTTTGGCAATTTGACTGCATATATCTGCGATACACAAAAAACTCCTCTGATCTACACCCTCCCACAAAAGCCAAAAACAAATTAGCTAATATACCTCATCGTATAAAGGTGTCTCGTCTCGTACCTGACCAAGTGACCATACCCCCAGCCTCCTCACCTAACGTGACAAATATACTCTTATGAGCCATAATTGTCCCCTTTGATTTTTGGCAATATTTCTTACCAATGTAGCCCTGCCCATATGGCTAAGTGATTTAAATTCAAGGCATGTCGAACGGAACAGTATTGAAGGGTTAATAGAGATGTCACTTTCTGGTAGATTTTGTCTAATTTGTGGTGCCACTGTTACAGCTTTATATTGTTAATAATAAAACAAAAATGTAGGCCGATGAAAACAATTCACACTGTACATATATATATATGGCTACATGAACTTGCATCGCCTAGCTAAAACTGGGATTTTTCTGCCTTCTTATCCTCAGTTAAGGCATGAGGACAGTAATTGAGTCATGTTGGTCCGGAATTTAAATCTTGGGTCCCCCAAAGTCATATGCACTGCATGATTATTTATAAGTGTTTGAACCAACCAACCTTCTTTCTCCTACAGTCTTTTCAATCAAGATTGCAATCCCTTGACGTGGATACCTACAGCAACAGGCGTTTAACATGGAAGGAGGAGCTCACCTTTCAAAATTAATTAAACCGACACATAGAAACAAAATTTCTATTCTAGGTCTCCAATTTTAATCGCGTTAGTTGATAGCTACGCATGCATATCATTTTACAGGTTCTTTCACAATCTTAGAAACGCATTTTTTGCTCATAATGTTCTTTCATATATAGTTAAAAAACGTTGTCGTAGCCTCCATATAAAAAATGAAATGTCAAATATATGTCGTAAAGTTGTCACCAACTTATTTATAGAAATATTCGACTGCAATCATTTTTTTTTAAAAAAAAGACAATTGTTTGTTACGGATGCATGTACATTTATGTCTTTCCAAATCATCAAGAACTTGAGGATAATCAATTAGTACTCCATAATTTTCATCTTAATTGTTCATTGCTGTAACATCATTATCATTGATCAGTGCCCTACCAAATCCATGTCATGAACGTTGCAAACCAAGTTGCACCATGTTTTTATCATTCCAAAACGAAATATTGCCACGTCCAGATTTGTAATTGGAAACATAACCCCACTTTTGCATTTTTCTTTTATAATAATAATCATATTCCTTATTATTATTATTATTATGACCTTTTCTTGCAATTACTTGCCCCCCTCCCCCGTTGGACTTCCTCCTCCGCCTTTTTTAATATGTTGGAGGCCACGGCAAACTGACCACACACACAAAAAAACAAAAAACGAAAAACAAGAAAATGTTTTCCAGTCCCATTGCTGCGTAAATTTTGCTACAGATAAAGTCCAAAACTTTGTAGATTAGAGGATCTTCTTTGTCCAGGCTTCATTACATTCAATCATGGCCGTACACGTCATGTAAGGTTAACGGTTTTGTTTCTTTGTATCAGCAAGTGTGGCAACTAGACCCTTTCTTGGTCCCATGGTCCCTATTAAATCCAGCTAATCCATCACTGTTTTTAGGGTACAGTTTTGTATCGTGGTCCTACTGGCACAGTGTCCTATTTGCGTGCTGATTTGGACCGTCCAAGCCCATCTAAACTGGGCTTCTTAATCCTCCCTGGCCCAATAATTAATTATTATTTTATCTCACAGGCGTACAGTATTTTTAGTCAGATTGCTCATGACATTTCCTTCAACATTTTATACACCCTTAAAATATTAGATACAGAAGAAGGCAAAAACTGCAGTCAATCAGTGAAATATGTACACGAAGATATATATGCTTAGTCATGTATTGTGGGTGGAAAAGTAGGCAGGTAGGACCATAGGTGTCAAATTCACGTACCGACAGCTAAGTGAAGAGACCAAATTATTTGAGAGATTCTAGTGATGAAAGATAGATATCGAAGCAGTGCTGTGGATTGTAATGTACATAAATAGAAATATAGTAATTAATGGTATCTCATGAATTGTGTTGGGTGATATCAATGCATAATAGCCCACTTCTCTTGCATGCACTTCTTGTGCCCCGTACAAGTACCCATCCCTCTCGAATTTTATGAATTCCACAACCATCCTAAAATAATGTTTCCAACAACCTTTCTAGAGCAAATAAATTAAGAAACAAGATTGCTATACATCTTTGGCTTTTCATTTACTTTGACTCGAGTAAAAGAATAGTATCCAAAATAGTGCAAAAAGCTGCCCATTGAAGGGCTTGAATTCTAAAGTGCAACCTTCCCTCCTCATTCATCTCTCTTAAGAATTGGTCACCTACTGTGCTAGCAAAAAGAGGAAATTTTTTCAAATCTTAAAAATTTACTATCCTAAATATAAATTTAAACCCATAAAGATATTTTTGATAAAATAATATTTTTATCTTCATATTTTTTTATTTTTTAAAAAATTATTTATTTAAATTCGATTAAAAAAATAGAGATACAATATTAAAAAAATAATAATAACATGTGTCACTATTTTTTATGCTAACAGTGCAATTTAATGATGTTAATCTAAAAAATTAACGAAAGAACACAATTAAAACAAAAATGAAACTTAAGACAAAAAAAAAAAAAGCAAAAAATACAATAAAAGCAAAAAAATAAAAAGAAGAAAAATGCCTACAACTATTGATCAATCTTTTTAAAATTAAAAAGCTATGTTCTGTTACTCCAAGGTCGTACTCTTTTATTCTAATTCATCGTTTGCATTTTAAAATTTTATCCGAATATATTGTTTCAACCCAAACAATAAAGAACTCTAATTTCACGATTGTCCGAAATTTGCCTCAAATGATAAAATATAAGTGAGTTCAAGAGGTGTATGATGCGTGAAATGTGTAAATTATAGGCCGTTAATTATAAACAATCTCATATTTTTGAATTCGGATTAAGGTTACTAATCCATTGGATTAACAGGATATCACCCTAAAAATTCCTACCATCGGTTTATTATCATTATATATTAGGCCGATAAACTATCTCATCTCCTCTAATATTAGGTCCCATGGAAGGTTGTGCAACATTATACTCATATAGAACAAAAATTTCTTACTTCACAAGATAGAAGAAGTTCCTTCGACCGAACACATGACAAGTAATAATATTGCCAATTTATTATCATCACGTATTAGGCCGATAAATTGTCGCATCTCCTTCGATATTTTGTCCCATGAAAGGCTATGCAACATTATACTTACATAGAACAAATATTTCTTACTTCGAAGACAAAAGAAGTTACTTTAACCCAACACATGACAAGTAACAATATTGTCACATGTTGATACAATTAAAATAATAATTTATTATTGCCTTGGACGACAGGAGTTTCTAGTTTTTAACACTATAATATGTGGATGGTACTATAGAGGAGTTCTTGAGAAATGATTAGATGGCTAATCGACAAGTCAATCAAAATATAGAGAGGTAGTATTTTGATTTGTAGAAATAACGATCAACCAACCAAGTATAAATGATACAAATAGTGAGAAGTGATTAGACGATCGATTAACAATACTAGCAAGACGCAAGTTGTGTGGTCGATAGGTGGGTAGTTAAGATCCAAACATATGGAGTTTTAGGTATTATATGGTGTGTGAATAACTAAGCTTTGAAATGGAGAGTTTGGGTGTTTTTTTTCTACAAATTAAAAGTTCCAAAGTCAAAAGTTCTCCGATGCAACGATTCCGATTCCCCCATAATGATATAAGATTGGTATTTATAGTGAAAGAAGATGGTCTTTGGCTACTAGAATCATGCTATGTCATCCAAGTTTGGACAATCGATTTGACTTGAAAGATTTAGATTATTTGGGCTTAATTGCTTCAACTTATTAGCAAAGGCTAAAGGAAGTAATAATCGGGCCTTCCTTTAATGAACCCCGCTCCGAGCCCACCAAACCAATCTCTCCAACGCATCCCAATGACAAAGCATGAACACCGACCTTGCCAAAATACTCATGTACATCCTTGTGATCCAAGTCTTGTATTGAGTTAGGTTCATTCTTAGTTCAATCAATTTGTCTTGCAATTTGGATCCATGCCAAAATCAAAGAAAAATAACATGGATTAGTATAAAAATAAAAAAAATAGCTAAGTTAATTAATTTTATAAAAATTTGAGCATGTACATTTAGTCTCCTATATGGACAACCTTATCGACAGGGGTGTCCATGTAATCATGTAAGGTAAGATGGAGAAAAAAATAAAGTTAGAAAGAATAATTTGATAATAACTACAATAAGCTTGTCGTGAGTCTCTTATTGCACACCAAGTAAATAATGAAGAGTGCGATAGGCTAGTTATGAGTCTTTCAATAGAAAAAAATAGATAATAAAAGTTTGCACACTTGCTAAGAGTCCTTCTAAAAGTGAATTTTTTAAAGTAAATTTTGATCTCGAAAATGATCTTGTTATAGGTTTTCAATCACTAATGCGTTATACTCTTTGAATTTTGAGATTTACATCAAATAGATACTCTAATAAAAATTATGATCCATTTACCCTTTTATATAGTCCTCCTCGACTCATGTTTATATGCTTTTTTAAATTTTTAAAAAATCAAGATCAAGACAGATACGGGATTGTCTTTGTCTCACTTCATAAGCATTAACTAGTTTAAAGATTGCCACATTCCATATCCATCATCTTCTAGAGACTAATCTTTAGCAATTCACCCATTTAGCAATTCATCCTCTAGAGGTTGGTTTAATTATGGGATGGACAAGGATACGTGTCTTGTATAGCATAGGCCTCTAGCAGGATTGTCACCAAGTAAAAAAACTTTCTTGAGGACCATACCCATAGAAACAAGTCTCGCGATATAATGTTATTTCATACCGATGAGGAATCTTCATGAGCCCAAAACAAATTAATCGTAGCCATATTATCTATCCCACTTCAACTTTATCATCAACAACTAATTAAAAAAAAGTATGCAAAATCAAGATAATAGTCGTTATCACAACCATGACCATGATGTTATCTTCAACTTGCAAGAACTTTGTATTGGAAAATTAAACACATAACTTCATTGTTTTAACAAAATTATCTTGAATTTCTAGGACATGTCCAAGTACATGATTATTATTTTTTTTATAAAGTTGGAAGAGGTAATTTTTGCTACCATGTTTTTATAGAGATTTTCTTACTCGGTCTAGAAAGTTAAAACTTTGGCTCCCCTTTTCGGATACAAGGTGATTTACAAAAGAAATGTTATCATCCAAGTTCTTTATTTCCTTTCGATTTCTAGAAGTATAAAGCAAGTACACTCTACTTCATTGTTCCATGAAACCCATAACCAAATACATCTAATTAAGTAGTGACTTTGTATGGAATCACATGGTTTTGTGCATTTTAGGAATATGAGTCATACACGTAATTCTTCATTATCAATGTAGGTTGCTTAACAAAATTAGTATTTCTTGAGAAATAAGCATCCATCCATCTTAAGCTAATTTTTCTATTTTCGTGGTGACTATGAGAGTATTCGAACTTGTGATCCGATTCCTCTACCTTGCACGAATCAAATTGCTTACCTATATTTCCTTTTATAATTTTGACTTATTCAATTTTTTTAAAATTATAACCGTGATTTAATCTTTATGTGTATGCATCATTGATTCTTTTTTTTTTTTTTTGACAAACCGAATCGATTTTTGTTTTTGTTTTTGGCTTTTTGCTTTATCTTGTTGTCTCTCTCTTTTTAAAAAGATTTATGGTCTTTTGTGTGTATTTTTTTAGGTAGGCAATAATTTTTTTTTAATATTTCAATGTTGTTCTTTTTATTATTATTATACTTGACATTAAAAAAGATTGTAACAAATAGTGATAGCTAATTATTATTTTTTTTTTTAATCACGGACGATGCTTGCCAACATCCTTTATGGCAAGTAGTCCGTGCTGACTCATACTTGCCAAGCACATCTTGTGGCGTATAATGCGTGCATACTTGTGAACATAGTTTTTTTTTTAAAAAAAAAGTGTGCACGTGTGTATGTATATGTGCGTGCTTATCATATTCTTTTTTGTGGTTTATGTCTATGCATCATTTTCTTTTTGTGACGAGCAGTGCTTGCCGAGCATCCTTTATGGCTTACTAGCACCTTTTGTGGAAAACATGTTTTCCCGCACCCTTCATGGTAGGTAGTGCAAACATATATATATATATATATATATATATATATATATATATATATATATATATATATATATATATCTCGTGTATGTGTGGAGGGGGTGCATGGGCGGGCATCATTTTCTTTTTTATGGCAGGCGGTGTTTGCCAGCATTGTTCATGGTAGGTAATGCTCGCCAACACCTTTCATGGCAAGTAGTACATGCATACTTGTCAACACTCTACTTCATTGTTCCGTGAAACCCATAAACAAATACATCTAATTAGGTAATAATTTTCTCTATAATCACACAGCTTTGTGGGCTTATTGAGTACGCATCACACACCTAATTCCTCACTAAGAATGCGAGTAACTTCACAAAATTAGTATTTCTTGAGAAAGAAGCATCCATCCATCTTAAGCTATTTTTTCTGTTTTTGTAGTGACTAAAAGAGTGTTCAAACTTGTGAGTCAATTCCTCTTCCTTGCATGAATCAAATTGGTTACCTATATTCCCTTTTACAATTTTGACTTATTCAATTTGTTTAAAACTTACAACTATGGTTTGATCTTCATGTGTATGCATCATTGATTCTTTTTTTTTTTTTTTGACAAACTAAATCAGCTTTTGTTTTTGGCTTTTTGCTTTTGCTTTGTGTTGTTGCCTCTTTTTTTGTTGAAGATTTAGGGTTTTTTGTGTGTATTTTTTTAGCTAACTAACAATTTTTTAACATTTCAATTTTGTTTTTTTAATTATACTTGACATTAAAAAAAAATTATAACAAATAAGTGATAACCAATTCTTTTTTTTATGGCAGACAAGTGCTCGTTAGCATGCTTCATGATAGGCAATGCACACCGACTCCTTTTATGGCAAGCATACTTGCCGGCACCCTTCATGGTAGATAGTGTAGGCATGCTTGCCAACATAATTTTTTTTTTAAAAAAAAGTATATATGGGTGTATATCCGTGTGTGCGCGCATACCATTTTCCTTTTTGTGGCGAGTAGTGCTTGCCAAGCATCGATCGTGGCAGGCAGTACTCGCCAAGCATTCTTTATGACGAGCAGGTGCCTACCGGCATCCTTTTATGGCAAGCATGCATGTCAGCACCCTTCGCGACGGTAGTGCGTGCATGTTTGCCAACATAATTTTTTTAAAAAAATGTGTGTGTGTACGTATGTGTGTGCACCATTTTTTTTATATAGTAGGCAATGTTTGCCGGTATTATTCATGGCAGGTAATGCTCATTAGCACCCTTCATGGTAGGCAAGTGCAGGCATGCTTGCCAAGATAAAACCTTTTTTTAAAAAAATAAACCTACACACACACACACACATGTGTGTGTGTGTGTGTGCGTACTAGCATTGTTTATTTTTTAAAAAAATTTATTATTCGCACAAATACATTAATAATTTAGTGTTGACACTTTATTTTTTTCGACTAACCAGTTTAATTTGAATTTTCCATTCTATTTTTTTAGAATGATCAATAATATATACATATTTTTAACAAACAAGCAAGCAGATAGCTTTATTTAGTGATAGACGTTGCCTATTAGCCCTTTTAGTAGTAAGCAATTGGCCATCATTCTTTCTATAATTAGATTTGCGATAAAAAATAATTAAATATAAGTAGAGAGCCTACTAGAAATATAGTATAAATAAAGAATTTGCTTGACGGATATATAGTCCCCAAGTGTCATGCTAAGTGTGCTCACCTACTACTTCTTTGACAAATGGATAATCCTCAAATGTCATGTTAGTTGCATTCACTTGTTACTTTTTTGACAAATAAATAATCCTCAAGTGTCATGCTATGTGCAATCACCTACTACTTCTTTAACAAATAGATAGTCCCTAAATATCTTATTAAATGCACTTACTTGCTACTTTTTTGCTAAAAAATTAGCTAAATATACCGACTTTTTCATTTTTTTAGTAAAAATTTGACACGAGGGCAACCCCCAAGTGAGGAGACTGGTTATTATAAAATTCATTATTAACAACAATAATGATCTGATCATATAGGGTTCTAAAAAACAATAATGAATACATGAATCAATTTTAGAGTTGTTCAAATCTTGAAAGCCATTATTTTAAGAAATACTTGGAGAGACAACAGCTTCAGTAACATCGCTTAGCTCTTCTCTAAGTTTTCACTCCATTAATTGAAAGAGAGAAAACTTGTTTTGATTTCTCAACTCGCAATGATGTGATTCAAGAATATGAATTATGAAAAAATTTTACAAGTGTGTAGCTTGGCCGGAAGAATGGATATTACCATCAAAAAGAAAAAAATTAAGTTTGGAATACTTAGAGTATGCCAACACGTAAATTGACCAAATGAATATAACATTGTCATAAGAAAAAAAGAATTGATTTTGAAATACTTACAACTTAGCCAGATAAACATGATGCCGCCATTAGAAAGAAGAAATAATATGAAAGACTCATAGTCTAGCCAGCACGTAGCTTGGCTAGATGTATCATGGTGTTATAATAAAAGAAAACTAAGTATAAAATACTCATAACTTGGCTAACACACAGCTTGGCCAAAAAACATAGCATTGTTATAAGAAAAAACCGAATATGAAATACACATAGCCTAACTAGCACGTAGCTTGGCTAGATGAATATAGCGTTGCCAGTAGGAAGAAAAAGTCGAGCATGAAACACTCACAGCTTAACTAGATGAATCATGACGTTGCTATAAGAAAAAACTTAGTATGAAATACTCATAGTCCGACCTATGCATAGCTTGATCGCTTGAATCATGACGTTACCATAAGAAAAAATGAGAGTATAAAATACTCATAGCTCGACCAATAAGCGACTTGCCGGATGAATCATGATGTTGCCATTAGAAATACTCACAGTATGGTTATCGTGTAGCTTGACTAGATAAATCATGGCATTGTCATAAAAAATTAAGTATGAAATACTTATAGTCCGACCAATACGTAGTTTGGCTTAAAGAATTATGGTGTTGCCATAAGAAAAAACTAACTATGAAACACTCACAGCCTAGCCACTTCGCAACAACATATCGAGGAGGTTGGTGGTCGTGTAGAACTATATGATGGTTATTTAATTAAGAAATGTCATTCCTATCATCCGAATGTAGAACAATCATGGCGGTGGCCCCGAGCAATGGGTTAAGGTAGGCTATCTTCTAGTAGTACAGGAAGTGCTAGCAAGCCGCCATTATCTATTTGAGAGTTATCAACATTCTCAATGTTGAACGAGTTGGCATTGTCAGCATTGTGATTAGGATCATGCAAGGTATCATCACTATCATGGACGGTTGAGTTAGTAGCAATATTAGTGTTCTTCTTAGTTTTTTTGAAAAGGGGCCATTGATTTTCACAATCACTAACTCCCCAATGGAGTCTCCAAAATATAAAAGGAGTTCTCGAGAACTAATAAGATGATTGATAGATAGGCTAGTTAAGATGCAGAGAGATAGTGTTATGACTTATAGAATTAACGATCAACCAACCAAACGAAAAGGATGCAAATGATGAGAGGCATGGGAGGAGAAGCAGTGCAATGCTAGTAAGACGTAAGTCGTGTGCCCGATAGTGGGCGGTCAAGGTCCAAACAGATAGACCTTTAAGTGTTGTCTAAGTGCATGAGTGGTAGAGTTTTAAGATGAAGAGTTTAGGTGTTTCTTTTGCTATAGATTGAAAGTTATGAAGTCAAAATTTCTCCGATGCAAAAGTTTGGATCCCCTCATAATGATATGAGGTTGGTATTTATAGTGAAAGAAGATGGCTCTTGATCACTATAATCATGCCACGTTATCCGAGTTTGGACGGTTAGATTTAGCTTGAAAGATTTAGGTTCTTTGGACTTAACTACTTCGACTTGCTAATAAAGGTTAAAGGAAGTAACAATTGGGCTTTCATTTAACGAACCCCGCTCCGAGCTCACTAAGCCAATTTGGCCCTACCGTAATATCTCGTGTCCATCCTCGCTAGCCAAGATCTTCCGTTAATTTAGGTCCATTCTTAGTTCAATTAATTTGTCATGCAATTTGGACCCATGTTGAAATCAAAGAAAAATAGTATGGATTAGTACAAAATAAAAAATAGCTAAGTTAATTAATTTTACAAAAATTTGAGCATATACAAATATTAATTACTTTTTAATTTTAATCGATTAAAATATTTTTTTTATTATATAATTTTTTGTATACAAGGAAACTTACCTTTTTATTATAGAAGAAGTTTCCTTTTTTAATATAAATGAGTGATTAATATTTCCAAAGAAAAAATGTTATGTAACATGCGGTTGGTTTAAGAAATTGTCATGGATTGGAAAGGAAGAAAAAATTATTATTTTATAATTAATTATTTAACCAATAAAATAAGTTGGTGTGATGGAAAAACAAGAAAAATTTATCATGAAAAAGAAAAAGAAAATAAAAAGACATAATATTTAATAACTTTAATTATTTACTTAACAATTGATAGTTCTTAATATGATTGGAGTAACTTCTACAGTTTTGGGCAGGAAATTTTTATTCTTATACATGTGATGGGCCAATTGTTGGATTTCATCTAAATAGCTATTTTATTTTGTTAGCAACTAGTGTGCCGTTTTCTTTCTCCCGAGCCCATGATAAAATCCCATTTGATTTTGAGAATAGGAATCAAACTTTATACCTTCCTGGCCCAATAATTAAAAAAAAAAACCCTCCAATGGGCCTTTCTGCGACATTCGAGAAACAACGGGCTGTTACTATAATTCGGCTTCTTGAAGCCGTGGGCGGGAGTCCCAAATTTTATAGATTTTCCTTTTTTCTTTTTCTGTTTTAATTTTCTTGAGAACCAAGCCGATTCGAAGTCCGCTAAAGGGCAGTTTGACCAACAAGTTTAAACCTTAGCAAGGGTTTGTCTTACCATTACCTAAGGCCTCAGATTTTGACATAGAAAACAAGAAATGAAGGAAGCACGTGCAGAGCCCGTTTGTGCAGAGGAAGCACTGGATCTACTAAACTGTGTAGCACAATCGCCTTATGATCAAGACAAATGTGTCCGTCTCTTGCAAACTTTGAGAGAGTGTGTGCTTAATAAGGTATGTTTTAGCTCTTATTTTGCGACTTCGAGTTGTTATTTTTGTTCTTCTTACGGTTTATATTTTTGTGAATATGGGTTCTTGATTTGAAGGACTGGTTGTGCTTGTTTGTATGGTTGTTGATATGGGTTTGTTGTAAATTGTCAAATTCATGATCCTTTGATGGAAAAGACTCGGAATTGGTGGGTAAATTTTGACAGAGTGGTTTTAACTTCGAAGATGGTATTCTTGAAAAAAGAAGAAAAAAGAAAGTAAAAAAGATAGTAACTTTGGAGTTGTTTGGAGCTTTATTTTTGTGGGATTTTGGGTTGATATGTTATTTTGGAACTGAGGATTAAACTATGAACAGTACACTGGGTATGAAACTTTCTTTGCCTTGAATCTGGCCTCTTAGATATCAATAAGTATACGCAATTGTGTTATGCTAAAAAAACCCTACTTTCCTACTATTACGAGGCTTATTCGAATATGAAATATAATCTGGGAAATTAGCTCCTCTATGTCAAGTTTGCTACTGATGGTACCTCCTTTTCACTTAGTCTTGCATTATATCTGATTTGTTTCTTCATATTTTTCATGTGGATTTGGAATCCTTTATTCGCGGACTGTGGAATTACTTCTGCTATTCTGCTTATTGATAGCAGAAGGCTGGCGATGTTGCCTCTGATTGGTCTTGAGAACATTGACTTTGCTTTCCTGGTTCAATCTAGTTCAGTGTTAAGATCTTTATCATGTTCCCTTGTCTCTCCGAGTATGATTCAGGTGACTTTTGAAGGGTGGGGAAGCTAAAATGTTCATTGATTAAAGGTTTTCCTTGTTCGATTTATCATTTGATGGTTAGATTATTTACTTCTTTATAAAATTCTATGGGAATAATGGCAACTTGATGCGAATTCTGGCATCTGGTTAGTGCAGAAAAGATGCTATATAAGTTCAGGCCTGATAAATTATAGAGGGTTAATCTCAAAGGGTACCAATACCATTATGTAACTGGGTATTACAGTCTAGAAAACAAAATATAACTTGGTGATCATTGTTGCATCAAGAATATCATGCTCGAATGTTGATGAAGTATTCAGAACTATCCGAAAATAAAGCTCTGAGCTGGGTGGCTGCAGTATATATATATATTTTTTAATATAAAGTACCTTCAAAAAAGTGCTCAACCTGAGACTCTTAGAAACAATTTACAGATAAACAATGACATGTCTTTGGCACAACGCTTCCTAGTTCAATTGGTTTATGGCATTATATGGATTTATTCTACATATATATTCTAATCTCGTGTTTTTAACTTTTTTTTTTCTTTGGTGATATTTCTGTATAGAAAGTGAAGAAGTTCTCACTAGCTGATCAGGACCAGCAGGAAGCAAATTCAGTCTCCAAGAAAGCTTGATTAAAATTCTGTACTGATGGGAATTTTGTCCGAGATCTATCCAGAAATTTAGCGTGGAGAAACCTGTTCTCTCTTTCCATTGTGAAGGCCTAATGGATATCATCAAGTTTTAGAGTCTTACAAAACATTTTAAGGCGGTAAAAAAAATTTGCCTTTACTTGATTTTGATTGGGAAACCATTTTTAAGTTAGAAAGCTGAGTTTTAATTTTCAAGAATGCTAAAGATTAATGCCAAACTCCATTTCTAAATTTGTTCTTATTATTCATTCTGAGTTTACACTTTTAAGATGTTCTGTAATGGTTGCCCCGTAGCAGCAGGGCTGGTGACTGGTGATGGTCTTCTTATTATGAGGTGCCATAGTTGGGTCCTAGCGTTTTGATCTATTAAATACTTTTAATTTCATTTGCATGGTTGAACTGATGTTGGTTTGGTGCACTTGTAGCTATCTGTAGGATTATGCATTGCGCTTAATATCAATAAATGACACAGGAAGGCTGCACTAAGACTCCATTTCCATAGAATTGATCCAAGAGTATGAATTGACCGTGACCATCCTTGATTTTCCACTTAATCATTTACCGGTCCATATTCATATTCGCTACCCAAAAGATGCATCGTCTATTGTGCACGAATGATCACTGTCCCGCCACACAGCCACAGTGCCCTGATTTCTGTTAAAAGATTTTGGTGAATAGATGAAGCAGGCTGTAATTTTTTAGTAGCTTGAATTTTTTTCGATACTGGTGCATGCCATGTTTACAAACGAGAAACTGCTAGAGAGGATTTTCTAAAATGAAAAAAGGCGAGAAACTGAACCATGTTTGGGGGTAACTGGAGGAAGAAGATCAAGGCTGCCTACAAACAGGATGATATCATTAGCAACAACCACATAACCCAACAAGTCCTTTCATACATAACAAGACCCATCATCTAAGGAAGAAGAAAGATCAAGGCTACCTCCAAACAGGATGATATCATTAGCAACAACCGCAGAATCCAACAATAACAAATTAGTCACAAGTCAGAAACACTTCCTTTCATACAAAACAAGACCTTTGATCGGAGACGTAAATAAAAGATACACGCACCTCATTCCATTAATCTAACCCAAACCTCTCCCTATCTCTGTATCCTCCAAAGTTGTAACCAGTTCAGAAGCTATGAGATAAGTCTGCTACATGAATGAGGTATGTGAGCACTAGTGCCACCAACATTAGTACATATGCAATGCCTTGGTCAATTGATGTCCCTGATTCAAAAAAACAAAAGCTCCCATTAATTCTCGGACAACACCGTATATACTGATTAAAACATCAAAGCATGTTCCGGATTATTTTAGTTGCGCAAACAAATTTTTGCCATTTAAGGCAAGAGTCGTGAATAATCACTGGCACCATTGATACACACATCATAATTTTGTTGTGGAGTTTTGTTCAAGAACAATTATTATTATTATTATTTTCAAGAATAGTTGTATTACTTAAACTACATGTAGCTCCTATCAATCATGACCACAAATAATTGTTCCTAAACAACATCAACGCAAAAGGCCAAATGTAACAGAAAATCCAAGATGCACTACCATAATTCAAACCCCTTTCCCTAAATACACAAAAATGATTACAACCAACAACTTCCTGTACCATTTCTTCACCTAAATCACCCAGAAAAATGGAACCACATTTCCAAGAAAATATCTCCAGCACTCCTGTATTACAAAAAATTCTTGATAAATTCCATTTTCCAAAACCTAAAAAAATGTTGCATCAACAATTTTGAAGCAAAATCTCCGAGTTATCTCTATCATATAAAATTTATCAGTTTCCTTTTTGCTTTTCATTTGGACCCATTACAACTTTATTGAGAAAATAAATAACATCAAAACTAAAATGCAGCATTATAAGCTAAAGATTACCAAGGAAAAAAAAAGCCCTTTAGATCTATAAATATGAAAACAGGATTCTCATGGATCCAATATTTACCATCGTATATAAAAAAAAAACACATACAAACAAGAATATATAACGAAAGTTTGGAAATTTTACCATCACTGGTTGGGGCAGGAGCAGGAGCAGGAGCTTGGGCCTGAGCAACAGGCAAAACAATGGCAAAGACAAGAGCAAGAGCAGCAACAGCTGCAACAACCCTGGAAACACCAGCCATTTTTCTTCTTCTTTCGATTTCTCTCTCTGCAACCTCTCAAAAATCTCTGCGGTTATGAAGAGCCGGCGCAGAGAGAGAGAGAGAGAAAAGGAGTTCTTACTTCCTTTTTCAGGACAGGAATAAAATGAATGAATGATGCGATGATGTTTCCGTTCTTGGATCGATCTTGCCTAGGTTTATATATTTGTAGAACCGGTTAAACCGGTCAGGCGGTGACAAAAGGTTTGTGGGGTCCAGGCGCATGTTTCGGTAAGAGAGAGAGAAGAACCATGTGAACGTCTGGTTATGGATTCCCGCCACTGACAGGTTATGTTCCTGCTCCTTATTAGTTGGCGCCATATACTCCAGTTCTGATTCGTCCACGTTTTCTTTTTTTTTTTTTTTTTTCACTTCAAGACCATTTTTTTAAAATTCTTTTTTTCTTTTTTATATTACTTTTATGTCCTTGATGTTATATTCTGGATTTTGATGCTGTCTTTTTTTTTTTTTTTTTTAAAATGTTAATGCTTTAGTTTTCTTAGTTTTTCCTCGTCATTTGAATTTTTTTTATACGATTTACCAACGAGTCTCATGGTGTTACAATACTGATGCGAAATACATTTGTACATCCATATTAAAAATTGAATTACTGATATTTTCTACATTGGCAGGTGTGACATGCTCTTATCTTCTAGGCACGCCCTTCTTCTTTTCTTACAGAAGAAGAAACCTCCACAAAGCAAAGGACTCGAAAGGCTAAATTACTGTTTGCCATATTTTAGATACAATTTATGCTGTATCCGTACCATATCCCGCAATGAATCATGTTAATTTCATAAAAGTATAGTTTCCAAATATAGGTTTTAGCTTAATTTTGTCCATATGCCAAGCGAAAACAGCTGAAATTTCGGTTAGTATGGTGACATTTAGAATTGGATAATTACACTAAAAGTATACTGATTTTTATATATATTTTTTTAATCGAGTATATGAATTTTAATTTTTTTATTTGAGGATATTATTTTTTTTAAAATTATCAATCAAGTACTTCTATCAATTTTTTCATTAACTAATTAAATATTCAAATATGAAATTAAAATTTTAACCTCTTTTTGTTGAAAGAAACTTTCTCCTCAAATTATTTTACTATTTTATAATTTGACAAATAATTAAAAAAATATTTTTTATCTCTAAAATTTCAAACTAAACTCAATTAAGTTGTTGGTAAAAAAAAAAAAAACTCAATTAGATTTCAAAGTAAAAATTGAAAGGAAACACAAATGAATCTTCTCGATGAAAAATCTCACATTTGTCTTTCCTTCAATTTTTACACCAAAAGCTTAACTAAATTTTTTTTTTAACGACGAAATCTTACTAAGTTTAGTTCAAGATTTGATAACTAAAAATATATATTTTTGAATTCTTTTATCAAATTATAAAATGATAGAATAATTTAAGGATAAAGTTCCTTACAACAAAAGATAAAAAAGAAATATAATTTGGTATTCGGACTTTGTATCAATTAATAGAGAAATTGACGAAATTACTTAATTAACAGCTTTGAAAAAGTTGGTGTACTCAATATAAAAAAATCAAAGCTCATGTAACACATTGAGAAAAAAAGTTTAAAATTATAATTTGGTATTTTGAGGATAACAAACACGTCATCAATTAAAATCGATTAACGAAAAATTGACTGAAGTACTTAATTAACGAGCTTTGAAAAAGTTGATGTACTAAAAAAAATTAATTTATGTACTTGATTAATAAAAATTAAAAATTGATATACTTAGATTATAATTATCTCTATTTATAATTGCTACTTCCTTTACTTTCCTTTGGGAACAACTCTTAATCCTTTTAGAATCTTGTACTAGAGCCAGCAAATGCCAAAAAAGATTCTGATTTTGGTGCCGCTTTTGAAATCACTAATACCTAATCACGACAGCCAATGCCAACCAACATTCCTATTTTGAAAAGATTTCCCTTGCTTATTAAGAGCAATTGAATCTTCCAAGCTAACCAGGCATTATTAGAAAACATTATTGATTGTTTGGGAAAAAAGAGAGGAAACATTATTGTTTTTTTTTCTGAATCAATGGGTTGGTCCACAACTGGTGGCGAACCAATGCTATCAGCATTAAAAACTTTTCAATGCATGGACAGGATATATAGGGTATCTTCCGAACTATATATATATATATATATATATATATATTATATATAAAATAGGTATCTAGGAAAAAAATGTATTAAAATCTGGTTCATTTTATTATTATTGATTTAGGATTTTCTCTTGTATTTAACAAGACTTCAAAATGATATCGTCGTACCATGTGTATGTGTCTATATATACATACTATGAACTCAATAAAAAAAACATTGTATTTTTCATATCCATACATATTTAAAGGTATTTTTATTGTATATATATATTGACATTAAATTTTAAGATATCTCTATAAATGGATTGATCGAAAGTAAATATACCGCTTCTATAGGAAGCTAATTACAAAACTCAAACCAGAGAGACCTAAGGGCTAAAGGCTTAATAATTTTTCCACCATTCTACCTGAACCAATCCGTTGGAAGCTCCTCGTAGCAGAACATTAACAAGTTTTGAACGTGAAATAGCGAAACCAAATGTAAAGTACGATCGGTTCATGCGAAGACCAAAAAGCTGAATCATTCGGCAATAGCTAAACCAAGCCCATACTTTGGGCCACAACCAATCTACCTATTTAACTTGTACTGGAAGCCCTTAGCATATTCAATTAATCAACAATTGGGCCATTTCGGTGCTTGAAGCCCCAATCAGCATTTATATGGATAACGGAAGACAAGTTCTGGTCTTAACCATTTAAGGTGGAGTGGAGAGAGAGAGCGAGACTGGTTGAATTAAGGCTATTATTGTTATTATCATTTTGAGATTGTAAGGCTATTCAATTATGGCTGCTCTGGCAAAAAGAAACATTAATTTGATACTCTGGTCAGATAGGGGTGAGCGAGCATTATTTGATTAAAACTAGACAATCGAATCAAACAGAATGAGCAATTTCGGTTCAGTTTTATAAAAAATTTAAAAAAAAAGCCCGAACTTAAAAATCGAAATTATTTTAGTTCCGTTCTTTTTTTTTTTCTTAAATTCGGTTTTCATCGAAAACCAAATTAGTATTTTTTTTTTTTTTAAACAGACACCTAAGCTCTTTTTTTTAAAAAAGACACCTAAGCTCTTTTTAAAAAAAAATAAAAAAGGCACCTATGGGTTTAATCAAAAGAACAATAGCTTTAATGATTTTTTTCTACTTAAAATAAAAATATTTTTCACTAATTATTTATTGAAATAATAAAATAATTGATTATATTATATTGACTGACAAATAAATAACAAAAAGACCGCGATAAAGTAATTCTTTATAAATACACAAGTTTATGTGTAAGTGAATCCTAAAACCTCATGGAGAAGAAATTGTCTCATTGTATTAAAATTGACATAAAAATATCTCCTAAAAAAATTGACCCCAAGCCGCTGCATTTACAATAGTAATATTAATAACAACTAACAATAATAATTTTTTCACTCTTTTTATGCTTATACCAAATATAAATTAAAAATTAAAATTTTCGGATTATCTATTTAACAATAAAATATGCACAAAATAAGGAAATTAAAAAAAATAAAAAAATAAACAATAAAACCAATTGTAGTGTGATTGAAAAAATAATGAGAAGCCCAACCAATCCAAGTTTATAATATAAATAGAAACAAATTTAGTATAGAAAAACAATGATAATGTTAAACAATTTTCGTATAAAATCAAATGTGAAATATGTAATTTTTGATTATGTTGTGGCTCAATAAATAGAGAAAAGTGTATTTAGTAATTGGAGTATAAGATTCAAATGACATATGGTATTCATGGTAATGCGTTGTAAAGTTAAATTGCTATAAAAGTTATGATGTGGTTATTAAGTTAATTAACTTATGTATTTGTAAATTGTAATCCAAACAAGTGATCCCCGCAAAAATAAATGAAAAAAATCAATCATTACCGAAAACAAGTACTTAATTATCGTGCGGTGTTTGATATTTTTTAAAAACAATTAATTCGATTTTTAGAAGAAAAATGTAAAAAAAAAGTTTTTCATCGAAAATTGAATAAAAAAATTTGGTTTTTTAAATGGAAAACTGAACCTTAATTAGGTTCTATTTTGGTTTTTGTTTTAGTCAATTCGATTAATTGAAAACCAAAAAACAAAAACCAAAATCGAATAAAAAAATCGAATGATCACCTTTATAGTCAAATCCTCTTCAAAAGTCCTTTGGTACAATCTATAATACGGTGAGACTTATTTAAAATGTGCTCGTGAGAAAATTATGAAGCATTGATAATTTTGTCCAAGTTCATAAAAACTTATAATCGGTTTACATGGATAAAAAATGTGCAAGTGATTCGTGCACGTAATGAACTCTCGACATTATTATTATTACTACGGTTATAGCGGTAAATCTCTTGTAATTAATGTTGGTTTAATCCATATCGTTAGGTTCAAGTAATTAATAAGAAGGTTTTTACGAGCTTGGTTGATTAGTGTATGTATCGCTACTCGACGTCGAACAGGACTCCCTATAAATAACTAAAATTAGATTTAGTATTTACAAGTTTATTTACAGAGTTTGGAGTCGTCACCTAGTATTGAAGGAACTAGGAACCTAAAACGGATATCGGTTCGGAGATTTTATGGTAAGGAATTGATTACGCTTTTGGAAAGATATCAATCACCTAGAAGCGCCCTTCCCAAATAAAGGTACCACGTTTGGTTTAGCTCGAATTTATCTTCTAAAATTTTTTATTTATATCAAATTATTTTTTGATTTTTAATCTCCCATTTTTTTTTAAGATAAATTGAATTTTTTAGTTTTGGGGCGTGGCATTGTATTGAAACGATCGTCGGTCCCCTTCGTCGGGCGACACGTCGATTTAAACATCGGATCCACTTTAAGCCTTGACACAATCGGT